GACTTCCACGATGGCGGTGGCGGTGTTGGTCAGGCCATTGCCCTCCTGGTCAGCAGCCTGGACGATCAGCGTGTAGTTGGGAGTGGTCTGAGAGCCAAAATCGTCGTGGTGAGGAAATCATCGTGGTGAGGGTCTGGCGTGTCCCCTCCTGCTCTTCTGCCCTTCTCCAGCCACAGCGTTCGCCGCTTGCCACCGTCCCCACCTCACGGTCCAGCCCGGTGCCGATGACGCTGATGACGCCCTTCTTGGGGTCGATGGTGAACATGCGCTCGCCACTGCTGGGCTCCTCGCTGAGGATGGAGTACCTGATGATGCCGTTGTTCATGTTGACCCCGTCATCTGCATCCGTGGCGTTCACGGTCATCACGGAGGTGCCTGGGTGCGGGGACAAGCCGAGGAGGTTTCAGTCGCGGCACAGAAGCCCCCGGACGCCTCGGCACGGCCCCAGCTCGGGGCTCTGCCCCATGGCTGCCCCTGTGCACCTGGCTTGGCGTTCTCCTCGATGTGGCCGACGAAGACTTGCTGGGTGAAGACGGGCCGGTTGTCGTTCTGGTCTGTCACCGTGATGATGATCTCCATGGGGTCCTCCACGGGCTGCCCGTTGGCTGACACCGCGTGGGAGAAGAGTTGCAAGGGCACAGTCAGCCCAGCCCCGACACGGGACCATCCCAGCCCCATCCTGAACCTGGGACGCTCCCCATCCCCATCCCAAACTCGGGACCCTCCCCTCCCCATCTCCATCCCAAACTCAGGACTGTCTCCTCCCCATCCCAAACCTAAGACCCTCCCTATCCCATCCCAAACCTAGCACTGTCTCGTCCCCATCCAAACCTGGGACCATCCCATCCCCATCCCGAACCCAGGGCAGTCCCCATACCCATCCCCAACCCAGGACCATCTCCATTGCATCCCGAACCTGGGACCATCACATCCCCATCCCAGGACTGTCCCCTCCCCATCCTGAACCCGGGTCTTTCCCCTCCCCATCCCAAACTTGGGACCATCCCATCCCCATCTCCATTCCCAACCTGGGACCATCCCATCCCCATTCCCATCCTGAGCCTGGGACTGTCCCCATCCGCATCCCAAACCCAGTCCCGTCCCCTCCCCACCCCATCCCCACTCACCACATATTTATCGATCTCCTCCCGGTCCAGCGGCTTCGTCACCTCCAGCCACCCCGTCTCCCGCTCGATGGTGAAGACGCCCACGGGGGGGGTGTTCGCCCCCTGCCCCGTGATGCTGTAGAAAACCCTGGTCTCTTTGTCCTTGTTGGATTTGATCTGTCAAGGGGGCAGAAGAGGGGTCAGAGGGGTCCTGGTGCTTGGGGACACCCCCTGCCTTCTACCCCATCCCCGTGGGGCCATGTACCTGCACCAGCTTTTTGGGGAAGGGCCCGCGCTCATTTTCAGGGCAGTTGATGGGGGGGATGACCCAGTCCCTCTTCTGCCGCCGGAGGCCATGGCCAGGCTGGGGGAAAATCCGCACCTCGGGTGCCGCATCCTGCAGGGTGAGTGGCTCTGCTCAGTGCCAGTTCACACCTCGCCATGGGGACAGGGGTGTGGTGACACCGGGCCGTGCTGTACCTGGCGGTGGTGGCTGTGGTGGGGATGGCGCGGCCGCCGGCGCAGGGTCACCCTGGCCGAGTGCTTCTTGCTGGTGCTGTCCCAGGTGTGGACGTTGAAGCTGATCTGGCGCCGCTGGAGCCGCAGGGGCCGCGTGGCCGAGACGATGCC